CTTCAAGTGAATCTGATTTCTCAAACGTTCCTATAAAGTACATTTTATTGACATCTTCTTTTGAATAGGCTATTTTGACGCCATACATTCCTTCAAGGGTTTGAAAAATCTGGTTTAAAGACTGGTTGTTAAACCGGAACCAGGAATGTTTAGCAGCGCTGGAAACCACTGGATCATCCGATGTGATTTTATCGGTACTGTTTTCGACAGGTGAACTATTGTTGTCAAAAGTTCTGACCCAGGACCTGCCTTTTGTTATGTCATACGTCAATTCCTGTCCCGGTACCAGATAAACGTCTTTCATTACTTTCTTCACCATTACAGTATCTAGTTTTACCACCACCTTGCCTTCGTTCAGCCTTACATATATTCTCTTACTGTTATGCAGTGCGGTTACTGTAAAATGTGTACCCAGTGCAGTTGTATTAATAGGCCCGCTAAAAACGGAAAACGGCCGGGATTTATCTTTCGCTACACTGAATTCTGCCCTACCTTTTAATAAAACAAGACGCGTGTGTTGATGAGCCGGTTCCCGGTATGTTATTTCTGCATCCGGGTAAAGGTTTATTGTACTGCTATCCGGTAAACGTATAATCCTCACCAGCCCCGTCGTGTTTACTTCAAAAATTTCTATATTATTCATCATCGTATCAGCGCCCCTCATACCCGTTTCAGCCGTCCCGGACTCCACGTTATTCTCCTTATGACCAAAAAACTTACCATTAAATAATAGCGCCAGTACAACCGATGCTGCCACTGCTCCTGCAATTATCATTCTATATAAACGGCCCCTGCCGGCCATCCCGGCCCGAACTGCTTCAAAAGCCTCCTCAGAGTCGACAGTTGTTGCCCCTGACCCACTAGTATAACGATTCTGTAATAAGATATTATTGCTGAACACCCGCCATTCATAGTCTACATCAATTCCTTCAGCATATTTTGCCGCATTTAACAATCTCAGGCTGTCCGCAATCTTCCGGAGGTACATCCGGTTATCCTCAGACTTGCTGGTCCATTCCTCCACAAACACCCGTTCTTCTACGGTGCATTCATTCAGAATATATTTTGCAAAAACATCATCATATGTATTCTCTGGCTCCATGTACGTACTATTTATACGGTTAAGGCTGCGCTTACCCTTACAACTATTTAAAAAAAATAAAAATTAA